AGAAAACAAGAATTTGAATCAAAACCAATATCATATTCGGAATCAGCATTAAAAACTGAGTCGATTGATATATGTTTCAAAGATTTCTGAGAACAAAATTCTTCCTATGAAAAAATGACCCTGTACTCCCCCTCAGGCTTCATGAAAAAATGATTTTTCTCAAAAATGCGATTTATCGCGTGGAATGAAGTAGCCGAGCTTCTGTAATTTCAACAAAAGTAAAATGGCGAAAGACTAAACGACTAGAACGTGGTTTTCAGGGAAATCATTTTTTCATGAAGCCTGAGGGAGAGTACAGCGTCATTTTTTCATAGGAAAAATTTTGTTCTCAGAAATCTTTAAAACATACATAGATCGACTCAGTTTTTAATGCTGATTCCGAACATGGCATTCGTTTTGATTCAAAATGTTGTTTTGTAACGGAAAAGGGGCTAAACAGAGGGCAAAAATGAATAAAATCGTGTTTCAAGAGAAATGTGCCTCGGTATGGCTCAGATGATCAAGAGTTATAAGCTTGGAAAATATATAGTTTTGTAGCTTTCGAAAAGGGCTATCGAATGGTAAAAACCCAAACTCGATAGCTATTACTATTGTTGAATTATTATAAAAACTCTGTGGCATATATCTATCATATATCCATGAAGTGGACCTATGATCTTGAACACGCTTGGTACAAGTAAGGGATCAATTTAAAATAGCCTATCCAACCCAGTTTTTCAAGCTGAACACGAATCTGAAGTCCATTTTCGTGATTTCTGTAGAAATTGTATGACTTTGTGGGGTAGGATCAATGTTGACTAGGTAGGGTAGGGGACAGTATGGTCCATGCTAACTTAGCCCCCTAGTTTTCTCGTCTTGACAATTTAATGTCAAAAGATGCATCTTAACAAGATCTATGTCTGATAAAAAAAGAAGTTTGGGACCGCTTGCACCACTCAAGAAATCCCCAAAATACCGCTATCCCAGAGTGTCGAATTTCTTGAGATTTGGAAGGTTTTTAATCTATAGCTTTTCTTTTATCTCAGATATGAATTATCAAAGTTGGATAAATTTGTAGCCTATACTATTCCCTATCTAATGAAATGTGTCCGATCTCAAACGGTCAAACCATTCATGAGAAAATGTCAAAATACTGAGCACACCCATTTTTAACGACTTTTTAGGGTCAATTTTGACCCCCTTAAACTTGTTTTAGCTCGCATGTTTCATAGGTAAAACCAAATGAGCTAATATTTTGGATTTAACTATAGTTTGCCTAGACCTATCATTTAAGAAAATAAAATAAAAAAAAAATTTTTTCCCCGGTGACCTATATGGAGAGTAGGGTGGTCTTCTCGCGGACCCTCTCTTAAATGTCGTTTCTGAACTTTCTCTTTTTCTATAGAAAAATACTACAGGTCACCATGGCGATGACAAAGATGATGACATCAACTGGCAGCAGCTTACAATATCAACCGCTGGACCTTTCTCACCAGAACTTGCTTCATCATTCAAATATATGAAACCTATAGGTTATATTCCAAATTTCTCACAAATACCCAATGCTAGTACCTCTTACGAGTCAGAATACGTTGAGATGTTCTTGAACAAAGTTATTCTTGTTGCAGATCCGATGCAACTGAGAAAACTTCGTCAAAACTTTCTCGTGTTTGAAGACAATTTTCAAAGTCATGTTACTGCAACGATTGGATCAAGACTCTCATTTGCTGACTTATATCGTGTGTGTAAAAAATACGACAATGAACAGGGTATGAAGCAACACCATAAAAAGAGCGAAAAGACAATGCAGTATTTTGTTGAGAGAGGTATCAATGCAGAAACAGCTAAAGCGTGTGCCTTTGCCATCGCTTTCTATACAGGCTCAAACAGTGGAACAATTAATCGAGGGGCGTCGACAATCGCTAGACGTAGTAACGGCGAAGTAACTAGCGTCATTGAAGATACTGAAGCAGATCACGCTAGTATTATCATGTACTATCTTATTCAAGGTTTATCACACATAAAATTTTATTGGGGTATCGTTACACGAGCTGTGAATATGTATAACAACGAACTTGACCAGTATGTGCCAGGTGCCCTCGTAACATGGATCCAGTTCAGCAGTTCAATGCGTGGAGAACGTCCGGCGCTGCATTTCTCAAGGCGTAATACTATTTTCACTATATATTCGCTGACTGGCCGTAGCATTCAACAATTCTCTAATTTTTCCGAAGAAGATGAGATTTTGTTTCTGCCACATTCATCATTTTTGGTTACTCACGTAGAGAGAAACAATATGCAAAACCGTATTTTCATTCGCCAAATTGAGCTTGGTTTGTGTCAGTATTCGATCATGTGGGTAGATGATCATATATTGGATGAACAATGGGAGAACAAGCGACACATGGAAAAAGCTAGCACACTTGGTACTACAGTGAATGTGCATTTCATTCCTAAAGTGAATACAGATGCAGCTTTAGCATTTTTACAATCACCGTTCGGCAAACAGATGAAAGACAAATCAACGTTTAGGATTGTGACAGACATGAATCGATACAATGAATATCCTTCAGAGAATGCTGGTGCTCGATTACTTCTAGAAGTTCGAAAGCTCGGTTTTGATTGTCACTGTCTTGTATTCACACAAGATGCTAAAGCATCGGCAAGCAAGATTGAACAATTGCTCGATGCAACACAACGGGAAAATGTTAGTGTGACTGTATCCATCAGAGATCTTGAAAAATTTGTGAATTTTAAATGAAATTCAAACTATTTCACTTTTTCTTCTGGATTCATACGAAAACCAATTGTCTTCTTAAGTTTTTCGATATCTTCTGATAATCACTAGGGACTGCATTACCACCAGTACAATAGTTAGAGTCAAGGTCATGTATGAGATGTGAATGGTGTGCTCGGGCCTGGCGTGGGATGATGGTGTGTGTGGGCATTAGGGAGGAAAGAATCTAGCACAACACCTACACCCACATCCAGCTGCATCGAGCGTTGTACTTTACAGAGATGAAGGTAAAAATTGAGACAAAGTTTCGCAGCTGTATTGTCCGTATCTCATAAAAGATTACATATAAGAACTTTGAGTAGGCCACAACGCTCGCTGTGTTAATGAAGGTCTAGGTGTCCTGAAAACTAGCAATTTTTCTCATAAGCTATGTTGCACGAATGACAGAGAGAGATCGTGTGACATTTAAAGTAATTCCTGGGATCGTTCAATTTTTATTCTCACTCCTGAAAGATTGAGTCTTCTCAATGGAAATTCTTCCGTCTGTCCGGTGTTTGATTGGTCGACCAGGAACCAACAGAAATAGAATTTTTCGACAACTTGCTCCCTATAGATAATTCGATGCGAGGAGTTCGAATAGGGTGTGGGTGTTGTTTTTACCACACCATACACCCACACCCACACCATACACCCACACCCACACCCACACCCACACCCTGTGGGTGGAATTAATACCCACACCCACCCCACCCACACCCTCTGTAATATCATTAGAAATAAAATTCAAAAGAAGAGTTCAAAAAGTAACAATTGTTCACTGAGTAAATCAAATAATAAGAATTTTAGATTTTTTTATCAAAATATCTGAAATTAATTTTCCAAAGTCATGATCGGAACTTCATGAAAAGAAATCGCCGCTGCCATTGAAACCATAAGTTGGTCCACAAGAAAAGACCTTCTCGTTATTATGAACGAATTTCCGTAAACTAATTGCACTAATTTGTTCCAATCTTTCCAGACTCATACTGGTACTAGTCACCACAAAAAATATTAATCAATTTGGTTTCTGATATGAAAAAAAATAAACACTTGTTTTATCAGATATTTACAAATACTTTTCCAACTGTCTAAAAATTATCAAAGAAAAATATTTGAAGCAAATTATGAGAAGCAAAACTTAATGTTAATCACGATAGAAGAAAAATAAAAATGAAGTGTGTCCAGTTTAAGGGGGGCCCCCCCCTCAGAAACCAACTTTTAGGGCCCCCCCCCC